CAGCATGGGCGGGCTCAGGGCCGGATGACGTCAGCTTTGTTCCACCCCCATTCGCCTTCAAGCCCCAACCCACGGTACAATGGGCGGGACCTGGATCGAGTGGGTACGATGTCATCTCCCCCTCGCCCACCCTTCCCGCCAGACTGCGCAGCCTCCGAGTCTGCCCGGGGCCCCTCCTTCCTTCATCCAAGCGGCAGCCGCGCCGTGGGGGCTGCCAGAACCTACAGCTATGGCTGTGCCCCTGGACTCGTCACTGCAGATTCGGGACTGCCTGCTGCAGCCCGAACACAGCCATGGCAGAGCTCAGCTGCACCGGCACCGGCGGCGACTGCAGCTGCAACAACCGGTCCCTCTGCAATCCACGGAGCGAAGCCTGGACCCGGATCGGGATCCTCGCAACCAAACTATGCAGCAACAGCGCCACCAAGTGGAACAACAGTACCACTGCAGCAAGTTCAACCACACTACAGACTAAATACCATAGTCCCAGAACCTCTGCTTGAAACACAGTCAGGCCAAGCCCTCAAAGCACCTTTTCCAGTTCCCTTCTCAGGTGAACAGAATACAATGAATATATTCCCAGGTAAATGGGAAGTGTCGGGACAAGACACAACAGCTGCAGCACACATTCCAAAGACTGGTCAGGAGAACAGAGCTCAAGCCATGAGTGATTTAGGAGCACAAAACACACCAGCTCAAGATATCAGCAGCAAAAATATTATAACCATCACAGCCTCACAAGGCATTCCTGTACCATCACAGGCCCCACCCATCTTTTGGACCACAACAGGCACCACTCCAGTACTTCATATGCCTGCCCAAACAGCTTGGTTTCCAGGGCAACAGTCCAGCTCCATGACTTGCCCACACCTTTTCCCATTTTCAAAAGACTTTTATGGCAGCTCTTCCTCCAGCTCAGGAAATGTGCTCAGGAATTCCTACCACAACATGGTGCACACTTTCCTCAAACCTCCTTTCCAGGGCAAGATGGCAACACCCTTTCTGCATCCTCTGTAAATACTCCCTACATATCTACATCGGTGCCCTCTGCAGTGCCACCAATGGCGGGTTCAGCCATTGCACCCTCATTTCCCCTGTGTGCACCACCACAAATGTCCCTCCCCATGCCTCAAACAGGAGGGGGAGGGGTGCATAGGATGCATGCAACCTTCAGGCCAGAAGAAGGTGCATCCTGGAAGACTACAAATCCACAGAATATGGGGATGGATATGGTTCCATTTAACAGAAATGTCTCAAGAGGTACGTCCGGTTCAATGAACTGGGCAGACATCAGGAAGAAAGCACTGAAAGAAAGAGACTTTGATATAGCAGACACAGATAGCATCGCATTGCCAGTGAGATACACAAGACAAAATGAAAATCCTATATGGGAACCTCTGGATCATGATGTGGTCAAAGATTTGATGGAAGCAGTGAAAAATAATAGTTTGGGATCCCCATACGTCAAACAGCTTTTGAGAGGCACATTCAACAATTATGACTTGGTACCTTTTGACTGTAGGTACATTGCCTTGACAATTTTTACAGATTCACAACTCCTGCTGTGGGATGCAAGATGGCAGAGGGCTCTCCTTCAACTGAGAAATAGTTATGCAGGAGGACCGCATGCAGCTCTCACACTGGCTCAATTAGCGGGAGATGAACCCCATGACAAACCTGAAGATCAGTCAGCCGAGTTGCCTCGAGATGTGATTGCGGACATTAAAGAGGCGGCACGAAAGGCAATTTTGCAAATTCAACCAGTTGGAACTCCAGAAGGCATTTACACAGAAATAAAGCAAGGTCTTTCTGAGCCCTTCACTTCATTAATCGATTGTCTCACACAAGCAGTGGACAGACAAGTAAGTGATGAAGCGGCGAAGCCACAACTGCTTCGAAGCCTCGCTTTTGCAAATGCCAATGCAGAGTGCAAATGTATAATTAGTGCCATGCCTGGTCAACCACCATGACCAACCATGACTAAAATGATAGAGGAATGCAGTAAGGTGGGCACACCTCAGCACATCGCAGCAATCCAAGCAGGCATTTGGGGAGAACAGGTCAGGAAACTCCTTCAAGCACAGGATGAAAGACTTTCAAGAACCCTCACAGCTCTCCATGTAACTCCTCAACAAGGTAATTCCACAGAAATAATAGCAGCAGAACTCGCCAAAAGGCCATGTTTCAAGTGTGGGAAATTTGGACATATAACAAAATATTGCCCAGAGTCTGCAAGAAATGCAACAGCACTGCATCGTTGCCCAAGATGTAGAAAAGGGAGACACTATGCAAATCAGTGCTATTCCAAATATTACATAGATGGAAATATTTTACTGTGAAAAGTGTTTCCCAGCGAGTGAAACCACTGTGTAAAAATACAAGTATTAGTAATGATTCAACTACCCAAAATTTCTCTGAAGACAGAATATTTGGGAAACTTCAGTCAGATCCTATCTGTAGGGTCATCAGCTGGTTCCCCAATGATTTGACATTTGGGGATTGCTGGTAGCGAGCTTGTAAGCTTTGTTATTTCTGTTTTCTATAGGTGATACTGATAAATAGTGATTGTTGTTAATATTATATGAATGCTTAAAAAAGGGTTGTCTTAACCCCTTTGAACACTTGTTGCTAATATATTGATTATATAATATGAATTCACCGATTTTTGTGATAAGAATTATTATTAAGGTATTGTTCTGGTATTTACAGCCAGCTGTCACATGTTTTACCATCTCTTTGTGTGTTCACCTACAAGACGTGTCTCTTCAGGATCCTGCTTTTTGTTTTCTAACAGCTTATATGTTTTCTTTATCCAGACTGCTAGTCTTGTGGCTTTCTTCAGTTATTATTACAGAAGTACTCCAGCAGAGAGTCCAGCTGTAACATTAACTTCTTTCTTTAGGTTTTGGTTTTGTACTAGGTAATCAGTCTCTCATTCAGCTGTACTTCCTCCACCTTCACACTCTCAGCGTCCAGATCCAGGCTCATAATCCTGCCTGTGACCACTTTCAAATCTTTGAAAAACAGGTTTGCTGTGTTCGAAGAACCTCTATCCTGAAGGAAACTTCGGAGGGATTAAATTACTTGATGGTTTGGTTTTTAACCCTAAGGTTAAACTGCTACTCATAACTGCTATTTTTAAGAGCCTTGTTTTAAAATGTGTTAAGTGACACCCACCAATTAGAGTTCGGGCTCTGGCCAAGCTCTAGCTCTACTCTGATGGGATGATTGACAATAAACCCAGATGTTTTCTGCATCAAAAAGTATTCAAGTCATTTTGGCTTGGCAATTTGACCCTCTATATATATGACAGCTGAACCTACTTTTAAAGTGAGCTTGGAGAATCGTTATCCAGACATGATTTTCCAATTCTCTACTGATTTGAGGTTTATCAGCTGCTGCAGACTCTGGGATGACAGTTCAGTGTCGTAGTGCTTAGTAATTATATAATTTCGCATGTGTTATTGATTATGTGCATTATCTGATTGATTCCTAATTACTGTTAGTTTCTTCTTCACTACATGCATTGTTTTGCTCTGATGTTTCCTCATGCTCATAACCAAAGAGTATTAGTAATAGCAACTTATGTCATTATCTTACATGTCTCTATGCAATTTTGCAAAACAGAACTGATCAATATTTTATTTCTCATATCAGGCCCCATTCTTCACTTCCAGGATTTTGAGAAAATCCTCCAGCCCCTGCGGGGATGTGGGTTTGCTTGTGTTTTAACAGGTGCAGAGTCCAGGTGGATTTCAGTGAAGAATGTGAAACTCTATCAAGTGCAAGAAAATGCTGACCACTCCACAAGCAGAGAAGAAGACACACAGATGTGGATTGCACAGAGATTCCAACCCTTGTGTTTCACCCACAGAAGACTGTGGACTTTGAGTTTCTTTATGGGTGTGGGAATCAGTGGTATTGTAGAATTTTTGTTAGATGATAGAGGAGTGATCAAGGGTTCCCAAACTAGAGTTCCAACAGGGGTGTTGGTGGCAAAATGCTCAAGTGACAAACACGAGCTGGTAAATGACCTTTTCTCATATTATAGAAACTTCTGTATCTAAAAGAAGCAGACCCTGACATTTATCTAGACAGCACAGTTCAAAGTCCAGTAACCACATAAATAAAAATTTCCTAATCCTTGCCTACATACATTTTTTAAAATAAACTTGCCCAATGAAGAGATGAATGCCTAGAGTTAAGTTAAATAAGGACTAGCAACTTATTACTCTGGGATTAATATGGTTTCCAATTGGCATCACAGCACAGTGCCTTCTCATGCTTGAAAATAAAGGGTATGGGAAGAAGCTTATGGGGCCATGTACCCTGCAAACCCCCAGGCTTGACCCAGGTGTGAGGTTCAATTGGACATATTACATTCACATCAGAAAAGGAAAACAGCACTAAAATCTGCAAACTTTTTTTTAAGAGTAAGCTTTTGTATATTTAAAGCAAATAAATACACACTGACAATTAAGTGTCTCACTCATGACTTTAAAATGACAAAGCAAGCATTCACTCACAGCACTGACTCCCAATATGATAGGACAGAGCAGACAACATGGGTTTTTTTCTGTCCCCAGAGAAAAATGTGAGAATAGACAGTATTAATAGTGGTACAAAGACTGGATTTGCTTTGAAATGAAGTTAAACAGAGTAAGACACAGGAAAAAATATGCAGAAGTAAAATGCACAGTGAAGTTCAGTAATAAGTAAAATGCATACTTTTAGAAGTTCAGTAATATTTGGATGGCATGCAATTTAGTTGATCATAAAGACACTGATGTTGTCCTTCATTAGATTTCAGAGTTGATTTTACATTTGGTTTGTTGGTTGCTCAAGGAATAATGTCATAAAAACAAAACCTATATATGCTATTAATAATTTAGTCTATCACATGAAAAAACCTTCATATTTATTGGAAGGTTATCTTACTGCCATCTTAAAAGCTACTTCTGCAAGCAAACCATTTGAAGCACCTTTCACAGGTTTCTTACCACTGCCTCGTTCTTTGGAACAGACAGATTTAACATTGTGGGAAGGCTGCCTTGGATCCAGAAAAGAGACATGTGCCTGTGATCCTACTGCATACACTGACCACTCCGGACCATAAGCCAAACACACATTCTCCCTGCAGTATGGCAACTTTGTGGAAAGTAACTAGAAACAAAGGAAAGACAAATCAACACATTATGATAAGAGAACAAAACACTAATAAAACAATTCTGTAAACTATGTTCAAGGAAGTTGCAGTGAAAAAACCCAAAATGCAGATAAAAAATAAGTTCATCACAATGATAGAAGTTTAAGAGAAAAGCAACCTGACCCAGAAAAAAAACAACCCCTGAAGATTAGATGCCTTATCTGAACAAAACTGAGATGATAAAGGCTGAACCATGTATTAAGCAAAGAACAATGGACATTTTGGCATATTGTTTTACATCTTTCTAAGCTGCTATTTCTTCAGCAGGTGTACACAGACATGATCTCAGCTGAAAAAGCTTACTTCATACAGTAGTATAGATATTTGTGGGTTTGATCTATAATTACACTTAAATAAGTGCAACTTCCTTTATGAAGGTTCTAATTAAGTATCAATTATACTCTCTATGGAACAGCTCACTTCAGCTCACCCAGAACTGGCAGAAAGTTAAGAGCACCTCTCACCCTTAAAAATAGGGTGAGCGGGAAGTTTCTTTCCCCAAGTTCTAATTTTTAGGACATTGCATTTTACTTAAAGATTTATGTGTTTGTCATGGTTTAGGAATGGTATTCCCCAATTTAGTGTTCCCACTGAATCACCCCAGACCACACACCGCTTACACACTTCCCCCCCACCTTCCCCTGCAGTGGGCTGAAGAGGAGAATTGGAGGCAAAAAAAGGTAAAGGTCATGGGATGTGATAAGAACAATTTACTAGAAACAGCAATGAAAGAAGAAAATGAACAGTAACAACAATACTAAAAGCGGAGTGTACAAGATAGGTGAACGATTCACATGCGGTTGCTCACTACACAGAATCCAGCACTACCTGACCGTACACCCCAGAAAAACCAAAAAAATACCACCCTCCGCTGTCCCCTCTGCCCATGGCATGAGGTGGTATTGAATAATCTCAGGGTCTGGACTGTGCCCCTCCCAACTGCTGCAAAAATTAACCCTATCCTGGACAGAACCAGGACATTATCCAACCCTTATTCGATACCATCTAAATCACACCCAGATCCTACATGTTATATATATATATATATATATATACACACACACAAGCATAGGTACCATTCCCTTAGTCAATGGCTGTCCATTCAAAATGTCTTCCAAGACAGGAGAGAGAGCTGGTGTGCTGTCGGCTGTTTGCTGCATCAGGAGCTCATGACTGGTGTATCTGGAGCAATCGATCCTGATTGTCCACAGTAGTTATGGAACACAGTGGCAGTGGCATTCAGCAACCAATATTAAACAATTCAACATTACAGGCTGTTCTCACCCAGACATCAAATCCCCTTGAGGTACACATCGCATTCCTCCATCCCTTTGCATTACGTGACAAATGCACCCAGGTCCTTGAGCAAAAACAATCCCACAGATGGATTTGCCTTTCCTTGAGGCAGGACTGATCCAAACTGTCTTCCCCAACACATTTCTCATATGCACCACAGGGACTTTATCCCCTTCTATGGTATATGGTGGTTTTGATAGGGCAGAGCCAGCTTGATTGGTAGAGCCTCTAGAGTTAACTAACCAGGTGGACTTCACTAAATGTGTATAACAATGTTTGAAAAGCCAACTTCTACCTGAGCAGTGATGTCTTGCCACAATTCAGCAGACCAGATGAGTTTCCCTTTATGCTGCCAACTGGTCTTTTTCTGTTGGTCCAGCCACCCCCACAGAGCATTTGCTACCATCCACGAGTCAGTGTAGAGGTAGAGCATTGGCCACTTCTCTCATTCAGCGATACCTAAAGCCAGCTGAATGACTTTCAGCTCTGCAACCTGACTTGATCCAACTTGTCCCTTGGTAGCTTCTGCAACTCTCCATGTAGGACTCCATATGGCTGCTTTCCATGTTTGATGTATCCCTACAATACGGCAGAAAGCATCAGTAAAGAGAGAACAATGCCTTTCATTTTCTGCTATCTGATTATATGGTGGGGCCTCTTCAGCATGTCACCTTCTTCTTCTCTGAAATTAGTCTGAAATTTTTGCCTTCAGGCGAGTTTGTAATGACTTCCAAGATTGCTGGGTGATTGTGGTTTCCTATTCGAGTTCATTGTGTGATCAGAGCAATCCACTAGCTCCACATGGCATCAGTGGCATGATGTGTGGAAGGGACTTTTTCTTTGAACATGCAGCCCAGCACTGGCAGTCAGGGTGCCAGGAGGAGCTGTGCTTCAGTGCCAATCACTTTTGAAGCAGCTCAAACCCATTCATAAGCTGCCAGTATCTCTTTTTCAGTTGGAGTGTAACAGACCTTGGATCCTTTGTATCCCTGACTCCAGAACCCCAGGGGTCATCCTTGAGTCTTTCTGGGTACTTTTTGCCAGAGGCTCCAGGAAGGATGATTCTCCCTGGCTGTGGTATAGAACACATTTTTCACATCTTGTCCTGTCCTGACTGGCCCAAAGGCTACTGCATGAACACTCTCCTGGTTTAATTTGTTCAAAAGCTTGTTCTTGTTCAGGACCCCACTTGAAATCATTCTTCTTCCAGGTCATGTAATAGAGAGGGTTTACAATCAATCTGACTGTAATCTGGAATATGCATTCTCCAAAAACCCACAGTGCTAGGAAAGCCTGTGTTTCCTTTTTGCTGGTTGGTGAGGACATAGCTGCTATTTTGCTTATCATATCTATTGGAATCTGATATTGTCCATCTTGCCATTTTACTCCTAAAAGCTAAATTTCCTGGGCAAGTCTCTTGACCTTACTTTGCTTTATGGCAAAACATGCTTTCAGGAGAATCCAGATTATCTTCTCCCCTTTCTCAAAAACTTCCTCTGCTGTGTTGCCCCATACGATGATGTCATCAATGTATTGCAAGTGTTCTGGAGTCTGACCCTTTTCCAATGCAGTCTGGATCAGTCCATGGCAAATAGTGGGGCTGTGCTTCCACCCCTGGGGCAGGTGGTTCCAGGTGTACTGGATGTCCCTTCAGGTAAAAGCAAACTGGGGCCTGCACTCTGCTGCTAAAAGAATGCAGAAAAACACATTGGCAATATTGATGGCGGCACTACTTTGCTGCCTTTGATTCCAGTTGATACTGAAGTTCCAGCATGCCTGGCACAGCAGCATTCAGTGATGGTTGTACATCGTTCAGGCCACGATTATCCACTGTCAGTCTCCACTCTACATTGGACTTACATACTGGACACATGGGGCTATTAAAGGATGAGTGGGTCTTACTGACCACTCCCTGGCGCTCCAGTTCACGAATCATCTTGTGGATGGGGGTCACAGAATCCTGGTTGGTGCAGTATTGTCGACAGTGCACTGTTATGATAGTGATCAGTACCCTGTTCTTCTTTGACTCTCAGCAGTCCCATAGCAGAAGGATCCTCTGAGAGACCAAGCAAGGTATTCAGCTGCCTAATTTCCTCTGTCTTCACAGCAGCTATCCCAAAAACCCAGCAATGTCCTTTTGGGTCCTTGAAATACCCTCTCCTGAGGTAATCTATGCCAAGGGTACACGGGGTGACTGGGCCAGTCACAATGGGGTGTTTTTGCCATTCATTCCCACCCAGGCTCAGTTCAGCTTCCAGTACAGTCAGGTGTTGGGATCCCCCAGTCACCCCAGAAACAGAGATAGATTCTGCCTCTACATATCTCAATGGCATCAGGGTACATTGTGCACCAGTGTAAATTAAAGCATTGTACTCTTGTGGGTCTGATGTGCCAGGCCATTAGATCCACATAGTCCAGTAGATCTGATTATCCCTTTCCTCCAACAGGCTGGAGACAGGGCGCCTCTAGTTCTGGTCATGGTACTCATTGCTCACTTCTTATAATTATGATCAACCACAGGTCCCTTCAGGAGGTTTGGAAGTAACATCAGCACCTTTCATTCTGTCTGAGGACCTGCCCACTGGAAACTGGAGCAGAATTTTCCTTGAAGAATTACCCGTGGTGGTTGTTCTTCCTCTCAACTCACATACCCATGACTCCTAGGGCAGAGGTGGGTTTTCCATCCCACTTCTTCATGTCCTCTCTGTGGTCATGCAGGTAAAACCACAGGTTACCTACTTTGTGGTGTATTCCCTCTCTTTCTTGAGCAGGGGCGTACTTACTCTTAATAGCAGACTCTGGCCTGTACTGGCAGGGCATAGGACATTTCCTCTTTAAATTGCTGGACATCCTTGGACAGCTGAGATGCAGGCCCACAGGGAGGAAGAGAGACTTTCCTCATATTGCCAGAGTTGGGCAACCAAATTATCCACTGTTTGTTCTCCTTCTGTCCATGACATCACTGCCAATGAGTTGGTATATGACAATGGCATGATCCCATAGGAACTTGTGTCACATGGGTTGTATGTGACTAGACTTCATCTGGATCTACAGGGGACTGCTTGTTATTTGAATATCTATAGAGTATCTCCAGCACAGCTAATTCTCTCAGGTACTGGATATCTTGCTCCATGGTGTTCCACTTGTCTTGGTGTACTGATAAATCCTCTTTGAAAAGATATCTTTCCCTCACACTTGACAGGAGTCGCCTCCAGAGGCTGAGGATTTCTGTCCTTTTCCCAATGCTGTTGTCAATACCTGCATCCCTGGAAAGGGATCCCAGTTTCTTGCCTTCACTATCCTCTAATTTCCAACTGTGGGTTGTGCTATCCCAGCATCAGAGCAGCCGGGTCACCAAGGGCTCACCCTACTGGTGGCTGAAATATTTTCATATATCGTGCAGCTCACCTGGGGATAGGGATTGGGTGATTATCTCTGTCCCTGCTTCTTCCTCCTGTTCTGAGGGCCCTACTTCCTCTTCGTCCCTCACTATGCAAACTGATTTGGTCTTGCATTTCTTTTCCTATATAGGTATGACTGCTACCGGCATGTGTTGTTCCTCTGGTTCAGCTGCAGTTTGAGTGGCCACAGAGGCAGTTGCTCTGCTTTCCTCCTCCTCCCCATGAGGGTGCTGTCTAGTGACGAGTGGTATCTGGTAAACAGTTGCCAGGGCCCAGCACATTGCATTACTTTGTGCCTCTCTGGAATCACCACAGCATTTTCCTTTCAAATATTCTGCCACTTCATCAGGGTCCTGTTCAGGGGTGAACTTCCAAACCATTGGAGTACAGAAGTCCTCTGAAACTGTCCCATTTTCTTCCACATTCCATGCCACTCATGACTATCCACCCTCCAGGCAGATCTCTGAATGACCATACTAGAAGTCTCTTTCATAATTCTAAACATGTACTGAGTAGACATAGCAACAAGAACATGCACCTTCCTTAGCATCCAAAGGAAATTCAAAATTCTCACAAGCTGTTGTAACAAACCTGAAGGAGGAAAAGGGTGTGAAAAGCTGGGGCAAATCATCCTCCCCTGTTCTCCCTACAGACAGTACAATTATTAATGAATTCCCAGAAGTAGCACCCAAGGCAAATGCAGGAGAGCAGCACTCAAGACACATCCCTCATTGCCCTTGATATTATCATGTCATAAACTGATATCCCACAGTACAGCAATAAAGCAATCCTGATCCCTCTCCCTGCTCTGAAAAAGAGCACCATGAGGAGCACATAGGGGAACATATACAGGGTTAGGTACCATAATGTGAACAGATCAAGCAATGTTGTAACCAGTGGCTCCGTACCTAATACAAATGCTTAGATCAAATTTGTTTCCATCCTGCTCTGGTCAGATGTGTTGTTATCTCAATGCTTCATGCCTCACATTGGGTGCCAAATTGACTGTCATGGTTTAGGAATGGTATTTCCCAATTTACTGTTCCCATTGAATCACCCCAGACCATGCACTGCTCATTCACTTCCCCCTGCGGTGGGATGGGGAGGAGAATTTGAGGCAAAAAAAGGTAAAGATCACGGGTTGAGACAAGAACAATTTACTAGAAACAGCAACTAAATTAAAAAAAAAAACCAAACAAGAACAATACTGATAGCAGTGTGTACAAGACAAGCGAATGATTCACACGTGATTTCTCACTATGTAGAACCTGGCACCACCCAACCATACACCCCAGCAAAACTGGAAAAATGCCACCCCCTTCCATTCCCTCTACACTTGGTGTGAGGTGGTATTTAATAACCCCAGGGTCCAGGCTGTGCCCCTCCTGGCTGCTGCAAAAATTAACCCTGTCTTGGCCAGAACCAGGACAGTGTTTTACAAACACTGCTGCTCTTTCTTCAAGCATTTATAGGAAATAAAGAATAGTGAACAGCCTTCAATGCAAAGCAATGTTTTAAGTTTTATACCAACAGAAAAGCACCTTTGATAGTGTGTGCTCTGCTTTCCAAAGATGAAAATACCCATCCAGGGACACAGCTCCAAGTTCCTATTATGAAAAAAAGAAAAAAAAAAAAAAAAGAAAAAAAAAGGTAAGAGTTAGTTTTTGTATTATAGATGTCCTTGCAAACTCACACTCCAGGCTGCTTCTCTAGTATATTTTATTTAGATGACTTTTTTGTTTTTCAAATATATATGGACAGTTTTAGGACTACTCAACTGTCTTGCTTATCTCACTGACCTTGTTCTTATTGTTGAAAGCCAATGCTCGGACTTTGCAGTTGTCAGGATTGGTGTTCTCCTTAGGAATATCCTTCAGAGCCCTGTGTGTTATGTGGGCATAGACAGGAACTTGAGAGAGATTATGCCTGGCATCACTTTTGGATAACACATCCTCTGTGACTTCCCAGAGACCCATCGAACCATCCCGGGAACCTGAATAAGTAGTCCATAACAGCATTTCAAATATACATAATTCTCCTTTTTAAAAAATGAACTGCAATAAACAATGAGGTCTTAAAAAAGAAAGGATACTTTAGATTAATTTAATCTAACTTAACACACAGTTGGTGCCTATATATTAATTATTATTAACAAAATCATGATTTTACTAAGCTGTTAAGTTCATAACATTGTGAACTTATTGTCAACTGGTTTGTCTACATGGTTTCCAATCAGCTAGATCACCTCATCTGTTTTCAAACTGATTAGGATGCATCAAAAAACCATGATCCTGTATAACAATCACCATTAGAGAGTCACATGTAGAATAAACTCAGAGGCAATTGAATAGCCTATGTGTTCAGTCTGAGCCTGGCTTACTGAGGCCAAGACTGACAGTCTGTTAAACCAATACAAAAACCTACAAGAAAACTCAGTGGGGTTTATACCAATTCTAGATAGTTTGATTTCTGACAGTATGTTTATGGATATGTACACACACATTAGTGAACTGAACAGAAACATATTTAAAACCACAATTTGCACCAATTTAAATCAAATTTACTGTTAATTCAACTCATTCAACCTCTTGTTTAAAGAATGTAACACAGGAACTGAGGCCAAACAAGCAAGAACTCATTTTATTTTTCTACTGAATTTGAAGATAATTATACAAAATATGAATCAGTAAGACCAACAATACTGGATGAAGAAGGCTAAATGCCTTTGGTTCAAAGATCAATACATGTTTAATCCAAGGTCCTATACCCATCCCTTCTGGTGTTTAGTCAACTCACTTTCATTTAAGTCAGCTCTGATAGATTTGACATGTACCTCCATTTCTTCCCTACACAATGTCACTTAATGGGTTTTTTAATGCAGATATTTGGGTTAGAGAATTGCAAGGATCAACTCAAGGGTTAGCTTTTGGTTTTTTTATATTACTGAATCATCAGTTGAAGCATTTGATTTTTATATGAGAGTGTTAAGATTTTCTGTCACCTGCAGTTTGACACCTCCTTGTATGAAATACTAAACCCTCTCAGCACAGAAAGACAGTAAACTAATACATTAATTCAATGGCATATTGCTGCTTTTACTCAAGGTAAGTAATACTTTATGAAGTTACACTGATTATCCAACTACACTGACTAAAAAGTCAGTAATTGACCTTTTCTATTACAACCGTCTGTATTAGTTCCCACAGTATGTGTGCCTATATATATACATACACACACACAACTTTACTGATAGCTTGATAAAACAAACTGAGTTTTCATTAATCAGTCTTCCATAGGATTTCAGGAAACTAGTACTGTTCAGTTGTATTCAAAGTTATTAACTAACCAACACCCCTCTTGAAATTATTCTGGTGTAGAATCCTTCCCTTAAACTTACTGTGTTAAGACACCCTCTCATGTCAACACCTACTGTAAAGACAACAGTATTCCCTCTAATACTAGAAAAAAAAAGTACAATCTAGAGCAGGGCTCAACAAATTAAAAAAAAATTAAAAAAAGCAAAGTGCTGTACTAAGACGAAGAATGGTTTAAATAGGCAAAGTAGTTCCAAATGGTTCCAAATCCCTTCTAAAGGTGCTTCCCTAAGACCTATCAAGTGCTGTACATCAGTATAAAATTCTGGGGGGAAAAAATTAAAAATTAACATTACCAGAAACAGCCATAGTATCACTTATCCATGCAATTGAAAATATCCAGTCCTTATGTCCATCCTAAAAGAAAAAAAAAATAAAAAAAAAGATAGATTTTCTGTGCCATTATATTCTGCAGTGGTCTCAAGGCAGACAAAAAAATATCAAAGTGAAGAATACTTAAGTGCAAACTCAGAAAGACAGACCTATGCTAAAAACATATAAATAATATTCCACTATCAAGCTGGAGCAGTTTAAGTACCTAACAGTAATTTTAACTTTTATTGATTTTGACATGTATAATTAATAGAGAGCAATTAGGTGATAGAAAAACAGATCTATGACCAAGGACAAATTAATCTCAATTCTAAGGACTTGGATTTTTTCCATTTTGAAAGCAGTGTTCTTTACTTCTATAAAGTAGCTGCTTATTTTTATTTCCTCAAATGCACATCCCTAAAAAGAAACAAAAAAATTATGTTTCAAATATATGACCTACTGATTAAATTTTCAAGAATCTTTTACTCAGAAGGTGAGAAGCCTGTGTATAAAAAAAAGACCTAAGGATCTAGTTCTGTTTGAAAAACTGCAGTCACAGTGGCACACGAATAACAAGTCATGCAAATCTTCAGAGTCAAGCCTTTCTGCAGCTGGTTATCTGCTACTGCAGAAACTCTGACCCGAGCTCTGCTGTTGTAGTTAACGTCTATGTGAAGTCCTGAATCAAAAAGGAAAAATAAGAGTGAAGTGCTTACAGGACACCACTATATCCATTTCAGCTATTTTCTTTTTAAGATTGGCTGTTTTAAAAAGGCCTCATGATGTTTCAAAAATAAAACCAGTACCAAAGTCTATCAAACTGCCACAAGCCACTGGGTTAGAACTACTCCTTAAAGCCAAGTTCTACCTGTGGAATAATACACATATAAGCTGCACTGGATAAGGGAAAGCCTTGAATCATCTTTACAACTTCTCAAATGAGCTTTTTCACTAAAGCTAAATTTCAGAGAACATCATCATCCCAATTAGACTTTGACAGTGAAGATTTTGTTACATTTTCAATGCTTAAAAGTAATCTGAAGTAGACCTGAATGAGGATAAGAAAGAAGAAATCTGACTTAGAACCCTGAGAATCCTCTCACATATTTATGTACTCATTCATATTTAAGATATCTTGTCAAAAAAGACAACTTGATCAGGAATATTTTCAAGCTTTCAGAAATTCACTCTCCACTACAAAACTCCCAAATTTTAAAGTTGCTTTGACCTTACGCACTTCAAAGTAGTAATTCTTGGGACAGAATAAACTTTCCCCAAATACTCCCACTTACATCTCCCACACACACAGGATCAAGCGTAGGCAGACGATAAATTGCAAGACTGTTGGGGTTGTCTCCACCTGTGGCAAGAAAGGTCCTTGAGGGATTGAGCTCAATGGCATGAATACCACATCCCTGCTGGTTCACCATGCCAGGTTCACGATCTTTCAGAACAGGAATCTTGGTAATTTGACCAGTCTGGACATCTATTACAAATAACTGGAGGAAAAAAGCAGATACAAGTCATTATCACACAGATAACCAAGGTGGTCAAATATCCTCCCTATTTTGAACTAACATTCTTTTAAATGTAGAATCCACAAATGCGGCAAATATGGTTGAAAAATGCATACATTCCTTCTTAAAACAACTAAATTAAATAACTGTGGGTTTTACTTTAATCATCCATCCTTGTTTTGGCTAGGATAACGTTAACTTCCTTCTTAGTAGCTGGTATAGTCCTGTATTTTGGATTTAGTACGAGAATAATGTTGATAACACACTGATGTTTAGTTGCTGCTTGATAGTGCTTACTTTAAATCAAGGACTTCTCAGTTTTCCATTCTGTATCAGCGAGCAGGTGCACAAGAGGCTGTGAGGGAACATAGCCAGGACAGTTAACCCAAACTGGCCAAAGGGATATTCCATACCATAGAACATTATGGTCAGTATATAAAGCAGGGGGTTGGGATTTGCTGGATTTGCTGGGAGCTGCCAATCACTGTTGGGGGATGGACTGGGCATGGTTCAGTGGTGGTAAGCAATTGTATTGTACATCACTTCTGTTTCTTGGATTTTATTTCTTTTTTTCTTATTATAACAATAATATTTTACATTATTTCAATTACTAAACTGTTCTTATTTTAACCCACAGGTTTTACATTTTTTCCAATTTTCCTCCCCATCCATCCAGGGAAGGGGGGGGGGGGGGCCTTCTCCTCGAACGCACCGGCGGCGCCGTCCGCCGGACGTCCCTGGCCCGGCCGCCCGCCCGTCTGGGGCGAGCGCTCGGCGGTCCCTCCGTCGGCGGAGGACCGCGAGCGCGGGCGACCCCGTGCCGAGCGGCGGCGTCGCCGCTCGGCGAGTGTTTCCCCCCCCCCCCCCCGGGGGGGGGGGGGGGGGGGGGGAAAGTGAGTGAATAGCTGTGTGGTACTTAGCTGCCACCAGTTGGGGTTAAACCACAACAGTCCATTTTGGCACCCAAAATGGGGCTCAAAGGATTGAGACAATGACAGATCTGACCAAAGCATGTTAAAACAAATTTCTTATCAGCATTCATTATATTAGTTTAATAGTCATGAGTCACAATGCTGATTTATTTACTCTCACAGTTGTTGCACTTTTTCTCAGAGTTGTGTTGTGTGACACTTTACTAGCAGTATGTCTTCCCTGTTGTGAAAAATGCATATTTTATTATTGGCTTTTCACAAATATTAAAATGAATATTATATATGTTATGTTAGAAAGTTATGCTGTATTGATTTTCTTAAGTAGTGTGTTAAATATAGTTTTAGATTATAGCATAATGTTAAAATAGAAACTATGCTATGTAAGACACTTTTTCTTAAAAAGAGGACTCGCACCAAGATAGCAGCCACAGGACACCTAAATCATTCAGAGAAAAAGAATTTATTGCTGTCTTATCAGAAGAAACTAACTTCTTCCCACCTCGCTCAGCCCTGAAGACACCCTCAGGATTAAGAAGTTGACGATGACCAGACAGAATTCTTTGTTTGAATGGAATTTATGCATCATGTATGAATTGTATGAATATGCAACAGGCTATTGTTTTTAAGGGTTAATCCTCTGTTAACAGGTGTCCTTTTTCAGGCTTATTTTGCCCAGAAAGAGGAACCTGGACTGTCCATAACTCTTTGTTCTTATTGTCTCGTATTGTCCTAAATCCTAATTGTCCAAATTTTTATTACTCCAATTATATTACTATTTTTATAACCATTTTATTACTATTAAACTTTTGAAATTCTAAAAACAAGTGATTGGCGTTTTTCACACTATGGTGATGTTTATCATCCTTGAGGCCTAGACCAAGGTTATCATTTTGTTGTACTTTGTAATACTGGCCTATGATATGATAGAACCACTGGTCATGAAACTAACCTGGTATGCGTCCTCAGCATTGCCATCCTATCTGTACCTCAGGAGCCATCTATTGGAAACTATTAAGTTACATATTCTGCCTTTTCTCCTCAAATACATCTTTCAACATCCATCCATCCATCCATCCATCTTGCCTTCCTGCTTTCCTTCTCCTCTAGGATGATTACAGTAGTATTTGAGAATGTGTAAGATTTTGAATATCCTTTCAATACCCTTGCAACCAACCTGGCCCTTTTGCTAGGAGCCAGCATGTTGCTGCATATAGTTCAGGTCTTCTTTCAGATTAAACAACTATTTAAGAACATCACCCAGAGATTTGCCCCGAGGCTGAATAGTTCTGAGTGATGGGGTATGCAGGATAATATGGGCAAGTGCCTGGGACAGTGGGCACCTCCAATGTTTTTGAATCTCACCCCTGAACAAGTGCATAATCGGGAAGATGTTTGCTAGTGTCTTTATAAACAATTCTATGGGTGAAGGTGCGGGTGTTTGAAATGGGTCTTAATGTCTCTACTGACTTTGGGCAGCAGGTTTGTTACAGGGCCCAGACAGCTTGGCTCCTGAAACAAACAAGTGGGGTCTGTACAAGGCTGAAATTCTGAACTTTGGGGAAAACAGTAGGTTCAAGGGGGGGATATGAGGTAGGTGGTTCGGGAAGGCTGTACTTTCCTAGTACCTCCGCCAGTGGGGAAAGGAAGAGGGGGCAACATGCAGCCAGTAGTTTAGGATAAAAGGAGGCTGTGTCCACCGAAATCCTGAGAGAGAAAACCCTGCAGGCATGTGCCCCAGTGGACTCTCTCCCTTTATTCAAATAAAGTTGCAGGACTCCTCTGTCTCCTTTATGGACACTAGCTATTCATAGTGTGACAAAAGACTGCTCACTTTTTAAAATTTTAAAGGTTTATAAAACCTTAACAAAAAACACAACAAAAAGACTAAATAAAGAAAAATTACAGAGCTGAGAGCCTTCATGACTATTAGCCACATGCTCGCCTACAAAATGGATGCTCCACCTTTTATACTGGTACCCCCTCCTAAAATCTTGTCAGTCGACTCCTTCCTTGCCATCTAGTGGTGGAGATCACTTTCTTACATCTTGATTGGAGGTCAGGTATTACTATAGTAACAAGCCAACCCTCCCCAAATGCTCCAACTACCAAGGCCATCACGTGACAACAATGCAGGGGAGGGATGACATATTAAAGTAACATAACTATACATCTATGTGAAAAATGCGTATTTTATGATTGGCTTTTCGCAAATATTAAAATGAATATTGTATGTGTTATGTTAGAAAGTTATGCTGTATTAATTTTCTTAAGTAGAAAACCTTAACAAAAAACACAACAAAAAGACTAAATAAAGAAAAATTACAGAGCTGAGAGCCTTCATGACTATTAGCCACATGCTCGCCTACAAAATGGATGCTCCACCTTTTATACTGGTACCCCCTCCTAAAATCTTGTCAGTCGACTCCTTCCTTGCCATCTAGTGGTGGAGATCACTTTCTTACATCTTGATTGGAGGTCAGGTATTACTATAGTAACAAGCCAACCCTCCCCAAATGCTCCAACTACCAAGGCCATCACGTGACAACAATGCAGGGGAGGGATGACATATTAAAGTAACATAACTATACATCTATGTGAAAAATGCGTATTTTATGATTGGCTTTTCGCAAATATTAAAATGAATATTGTATGTGTTATGTTAGAAAGTTATGCTGTATTAATTTTCTTAAGTAGTGTGTTAAATATAGTTTTAGGTTATAACATAATGTTAAAATAGAAACTATGCTATGTAAGATATTTTTTTAAAGAAAGGAATTAGGTTCTTGCACCAGATAGCAGCCACAGGACACCTAAATCTTTCAGAGAATTTATTGCTCCCTTATCAGCAGAAAACAGGGGGTGGAAACAGCCCTACCATCTGCCATGGACTGATCCAGACTGCACTGGAAAAGGATGAAGCTCCAGAACTCCTGTAATACATTGATGAAGTCATTGTGTGGGGAAATACAGTAGAAGTTTTTGAGAAAGGTAAGAAAATAGTCCAAATCCTTCTGAAAGCCTATTCTGCTATAAAACAAAGTAAGATCAAGGGACCTGCCCAAGAGATACATGTTTTAGGAATAAAATAGCAAGATGGGCATTGTCAGATACCAGTGGATGTGCTCAACAAAATAACAGTAATATCTCCACCAATTCACAAGAAAGAAACACAAGCTTTCTTAGGCATTGCGGGATTTTGGAGAATGTATATTCCAAATTATATTAAGATTTCCCTATCAAGTGACGAGGAAGAAGAATTATTTCCAATGGGGCCCTGAGCAATGAAAAGCCTTTGAGCAAATCAAACAGGAGACAGTTCATGCTGTAGCCCCTCGGGGCAGTCAGAACAGGGAAAGATGTAAAAAATGTGCTCTACACCACAGCTGGGGAGAATGATCCTTCCTGGAGCCATTGGCAGAAAGAACTGGGGAGACTCAAGGTTGACCCCTGGGGTTTTGGAGTTGGGGATGCAGAGGATCTGAAGACCACTATGTTGGTTTTGCTTGGCCTGGTTTTTGGTAATGGGAGGGCCATAGAGGTGGCTTCTGTGAAAAGCTGCTGGAAGCTTCCACCATGTCCAGCAGAGCAAATCCCCTGATGGCTCTGAAGATGGATGAGCCGCTGGCCAAAGCTGGGCCAATTAGAGAGGTTGGTAATGCCTCTGTGATAACAAATTTAAGAAGAAAACCAAAACAAAGTGGGCACAATAGCTTTTTCTTCTCATCAGAGAAGAGGAGGAGGTGAGAACATGTGAGGGAAAACAGCATGGAGACTCCAAGGTCAGTGAAGGAGTGGCAGGAGGTGCTCCAGGCACCAGAGCTGAGATTCCTCTGCAGGCTGTGGTGAAGACCATGGTGAAGCAGGCTGTCCCCCTGAAGCCCATGGGGATCCACAGGGGATGCAGAGATCCACCCACAGCCCATGGGGGAGGTGTCCATGCTGGAGCAGGTGGATGCCTGGAGGAGGCTGTGATCCAGTGAAAGACCCAGTGGAGAGAGAGGGCCCCTGCTTCCAGGCTGGAGCAGCCTGTCCTTGGAGGACTGCACCCTGTGGAAGAGTGACCCACGTCGCAGCAGTTTTGGGAGGACTGTCTGCCTGTGGGGGGAATTCACGTTGCAGCAGGTACGGTATGGCTGCTGCTTGTGATAGTGGACCCACGCTGAAGAAGGTCACGGAGAACTGTCTCTGGTGGGAGGGACCCCACAGCCTTACAGGGGAAGGACTCCTCTCCCAGAACAGTGGAAGAAAATCCTTGGGTGACGAACTGACCAAAACCCCTGTGCCCTGTCTCCCTGCACTGTCAGTGGGAAGGAGGGAGGGGCTGGGGAAAAAGGTGTTTTAAGAGCTTATTTTACTTCTCATTATCCTCCTCTGATTTTGTTAGTAATAAATTCACTTTGCGAGTTTAAGTTGAGCCTGTTTTTCCCTTGAATTGTTTTCTCCGGGTCCTTATCTCAATTCATGAACCCTTCATTAAATTTTCTCTCCTCTGCCCAGATGTGGCAGGGGAGGGTGAACGAGCGACTTTCATGGGTGCCTGTGTGAAACCACAACAGGCCTCCAAACAATTACTCTGCTGATGCCATTTGGGTTATACCCTTTTTCTTTTATATGTTCTCTGTATTCTTCACACATATATTTGTAGCTTTGTAGCCTATTGTATTAGTGACTTGTTTTCCCAGTACTTTTCCATGGCCTTTCCCTAGGCAGAAAGACAAAACAAATTCCAGAGCTCCAAGCTCCAGGGGGTACAAGGCCCCAGTGCTATCTTGGTTATTCCTGGGAACCAAGGCCAAGAACAACTCTCAGAGATACATTTTCATAGCAAAGTACAGCTAGTGCTGAGGGGGGAACTCCAGAGAAGGGGCTTAACCTGGGGGGAAATTGAATCACCACTTTTCCTCCTAATTGGTGTTTTTTATCAATTATGCTAATTTCCTAAAACGTATAAATATGTACTCACTCCTGGGAGGGGCGGGCTTTTGTGGACATCTTTCCATAACTGCCTCTGAAGGCCTTCAAATAAAGATCCCCTTTTATATTACCCCCTTACTAAAATTATCACGAGTTTCATTTCCAGGTTGGGAAAAAGGCAACACTGCAGCTGTCCCCTTTTCAAACTGCTTACAATCAAGTTAGAAATTGCCCTGCTTCATTAACTGTGTCCTAGGGTGACGTTATGATGCTTGTATCCCCAGTCGTCTGTTCTGTTTATGCTGGATATTATGTTCTGTGCCTTCAAGACTGGCTCTGAAGAGCGAATGTTTTGCGTATAAATATGTACTCACTCCTGGGAGGGGCGGGCTTTTGTGGACATCTTTCCATAAC